ATGCCATTACAAAATGGAATAAAATAATAAATTTTTAAATACAATTAATTATATATTTTGGTTGATAAAAAACAAACTTAGCTTTTTTGTTGCTATTTAATCCTTTCCTTCTGTGAATACCTGCTCTATTAAATATTCATGGTGATTATTATGATTATTAAATACATTTGATGTTGTAACGAAAAATTGCATCACCCAAATAATAAATAATACCAAGGCCATGCAAAAATGAAACTTTTACTAATGCATGTCTACTCAGATCTTGGGGGTTCACAAAATAAATTATTTTTCCTGATTATCAATTATGGTTCCTTATGAATAATAAATCTGATGTTGATCATAGGTGTCAGATTTAATTAAAATTTTCCTATCACAAACATGCAAACTCTCTGCAATTAAACAACATTCAGCATCATGGAATTTTTCCCACAGGTGAAAGTGATTTGAACAAGTTGGAAGACTTTTGGACAAAACATTCCCTTATCTTCCTCTCAGACCAGGCCTGGCTGTTGCCATATGGACATTGAACACTGATAGCTGGTGCTTGTGTCATAATTGCTTTGTGTTATACCCTCTAGAATAAAGTCGGTGTCTGCAACTGGTTTGAAGGTTACAACCTGGGTTGCTGTTTTGGATTCAGAGTTTTGAGTCCTGAGGTCTGTCTTGTTGGTCTCACCAATAACCCTACCCCCATTTACTTAAATAACAAATTCAATTGGTTAAACAAAAATTTACAAAACAGAAAATTTGGGAAAATGATTAATTTATAACATAACATACCAAACAAAATCCAAACCATTTTATAACTTTTTTCTTGTTGGCCAGATTGCTGGCAAAGATATATATAATCATGTGATAATTTTAATCTATAGGACAGGGGATTGATTGAGCAAAACCCCATTCAATCCCCTACTCAAAATTATAAATTGGTTAGTATCAAAGAAACAGAGAATTTAGGAAAATGATCATACAAACAAACACTATTTTACAACTTTCCTCTTAACATCAGAGTCCAAATGTGATTTCAGGGTCACCAATCCACCCTGAATTGCGACCTTATGTGCTTGAAACAAGTTGCAGATTCTCTTAATATTTCTGCAGAGTTGCAACCTCTTGGTTGCAGAGCCATCCATCCTTTCCCTAGAGGTAGTATTGTTGGAAGCAACTTTTCGACCAGCATGCCAGCAGCCTTCTCTGATCTGGTGCAGTGAAGATTAGTGAAAATATCCTTGACAATTGATGCAATCTCGGTGAACTCCAGAGCTTTGCACTCCCCCCTGCAATTCAGTTGCATCATTGTATCATCGAGAGCACCGTGGTCAGATTAGCCTTGTGTACATGAGGAACATGTGAGAATGACTGTAAAGTGTTCAAGGTAGCGTGCGTGTCTTGACGATTGTCAAATTTCCGATAATCAAACATTGCATATTTGGATTGTTTCTTTTTAAACAGTGTGCTGCCTTGACATCTTGTAATTATAATTATATATTAATAATAGCATTATTATTACGATTACACAAAGCAAAATATTATCAATGAAAATCTTGTAATTACCCAGCAATGATCTGCTCCACGTTTTGATTCCAATTAAATTATTTATAAGCTAAAATAAACGACACCTCATCAATAAAAAAAAGTACCTCTGGTTAGTTATTAATATGTATTCTTTAGGAGACCCAAACCAAACCAAACAACAACACTCACATTTTGTCACCTTGGATTCTGTCAAAAAATAAATTGTTTTTTGTTTTCCAAAAAAAAAAAAAAAAAATCAATCAATTCACGTCTGTCCTCAAAAACAAAATTTTTGTGCAACACCAAGTGCCAATAATAATATTATTATTATGGATTTTATTAATAAATTTGTTCCACAAACATTTTTAATTAATAAAAAAGGGGCCAATGTTTAAATTCGTTGTAACTAGGATGGGCATAAAAATTATTTTGAAAAATGACCAAGTTATTAAGTACTTAATAACTCTATTATTAAGTGTTAAAAACACAAACATGCAGAT